AGCTTGGTGTCCAGAGATTTTCGTCGTCACTGGTTTCGAAATTGGTATTCAATTTTCAAAAATCTAAATAGCGAATCCAATATGACGGATCACTTCTTTATACCCGAGCGCACTTGTGCACAAGGGTATTATAACTTTGTTCACATAACGGTTGTTTGTAACAGGCAAAACGAATCGAGATAGATATAGACAAATGTATACATAAATGATCAGAATGAAAAGAGAAATCGATTAAGCGGTGACTGTCTGTCCGTCCGTCTGTGCACACGGTAACTTGAGTAAAAATTTAGATATCTTAACGTAACTTGGTACGTGCACTTCTTTCGGGCGTAGGACGGACGGTATTGAAAATGGGCAAAATCGGACAATCACCACGCCTACCTCCCATATAGCGGTAATTTTGAGAAATACGAAAACTGCGATATTTTANCTATCAAGTGCAGCTGATTTGCCGCTATTTAAACTCGACAGCGTGGTTGTTGTTGTCAATTCTATACATCCATTTGCTTATTTGCTTTTTTGTATAGTTTCAGGCAGGCTCTTCCTAAACTATGTATTTGTCAATGTTATTGTGGCTTGTTAACATTTCATGTTTAATATTTTTATTGAGCTTTGTACCACGATTGTTTATTAGGAAAAATTGAAAAAGCAACAAAGTCTAAACAGTAGTCTTTTTTCTAGACTTCAGCTTCTTTCTAGACTTCCCTGCTGAAGTCTAGAAAAAAGAAGTCTGATGAGGAGATGTGGTGATCTCCGAAATAGTGCTATAACTTCTACCGCTTAGACTTTGTTGCTTTTTCAATTTTTCCTAATAAACAATCGTGGTACAAAGCTCAATAAAAATATTAAAAATAAAATGTTAACAAGCCACAATAACATTGACAAATACATAGTTTAGGAAGAGCCTGCCTGAAACTATACAAAAAAGCAAATAAGCAAATGGATGTATAGAATTGACAACAACAACCACGCTGTCGAGTTTAAATAGCGGCAAATCAGCTGCACTTGATAGTAGNTACCAATAAATACGTTTACGATAAAGTTTTGGAAAATGGGCCTGGCACCGCCCACTGATGATCGGTAACCGTTCTACCAATTTGTACCAAACTCGGTATTTTTATTGTGCTTGCCACATAAAAGCAAAAAAATTATAGAAATCGGACTAAAATTACGGCCGCTTTTCATATAACGGTAAATTTCAGAAATGCTTGAAACTTGGATATTTCGAAATTTAAGGACGCTAATTTACTCAAAACTGATACTAACAGCAATCCCTTGAAAAGAAGTAACATTATTTGGAATTTTGGAAAATGGGAGTGATACCGCCCAGTTATGACTATATAAGTTAATCTCATTATATCTAACTGAACTTTATATTAAAGATGTTTAAAAAAGGGGTAAAACCACCATGTAGCGGGAGTTTTCGGAAAGGTGAAAAACATATATTTAATACTTGCGCCGGGTATTTAATGTTCTGCTCCGCCCGAACTTAGACTTTCTTACTTGTTTTTAATTATATTTTGTTATGAAACTTGGTATACAGAGATCCTCGTTATCTTTGATTACGAAATTGAAATTAAATTTTCAAAATTTAAAATGGGTTCAAATGGTGCTAAATGTAATACATTGCGTTAAAAGTAAAACGCCTATTGTTCGGGACGCCATTTTGAATTTTTGAAAATATAATATCACTTTCGAAAAGAGTGACGACGAAAATCTCCAAACTTCATAACAATCTATACATTTTTGAGGAAATCGTCCGCCATATTGGATCCGCCGTTTTGATTTTTTTAAATTTAATATCAATTTCGAAACCAGTGACGACGAAAATCTCTGGATACCAAGCTTTATAACTATCTATACATTTTTAAAAGATATCTTCCGCCATATTGTATACGCCATTTTGAATTTTGGAAATTTAATTTAATATTCGAATTCAGTAACGACGAAAATCCCTAATTACCAAATTTCATTGAAATCTGTCAAATACATATGGAGTAAATACCAAGCTTCATAAATATTTATACATTTTTGAAGAAATCGTGCGCCATATTGGGTCCGCCATTCTGATTTTTGAAAATGGAATATCAATTTCGAAATCAGTGACGACGAAAATCTCTGGATACCAAGCTTCATAACAATATAGACATTTTTTAAGAAATCGTCCGCCATATTAGGTCCGCCATTGTGAATTTGTGAAATTTAATTTAATATTCGAAATCAGTGATGATGAAAATCCCTAAGTACCAAATTTCATTGAAATCTGTCAAATGCATATGGAGTAAACTTTTTTGTCATCCTATATTGTCGATTCGTCCCTATGTGCATCGCCGGGAATGCGGAATCTTGTATTACATCATTCTTGTTACCATATAGCAAAAATAAAACTACTCAAAAACGCGAATATGTGGTAGATTTCATATCTTGAGTGGTAGATGGTAAAATGTGCTAGAAGTCCGATCACTGCTCGGTAATGCTTGCGGGCGGTCTCGGTAGCGATCTCGGCCTTAGGGCGCCAGCGGTGTTGGCGGTCCAGATTGGGGACCTACGGACAACTGATGATTAGTGCGGTCCCCCAGGGCATCGAAAGAAAAGAAAAAAAAACTAAACAAATTCATTTTAGATATGAGGCCATCAGGGCCATAGGAGCCTATCTACAAACAAATTTTTAGTAATATGAGAAAGAGGGATCTATAAAAAATAAATGCGGTGTTTTACTAAAAAAATCATTGCACCCACGTGATGCTACATATTATAGTAAAAGGAAACTAAAAGGGCTTGCCTCGGGCTATTGCTGTTTCGATTCTGGTAATGCATTTTAAGGTGCACCTCAACTTTTTTTGATATGACAGTTAAGGTACTCTGGCGCTCAGAGCCTCATATAATAGATACATTTACAAACATATGTATGTAGGAATGGCCTTCCCGTTTCATCCTCTTCGTATAAAAAACGCGGTTATTTAGTTTAATAATTTAATACTACATAGAGTTTATTTAACAAAACGCACATATTACAATTAAACAACTTAAGACTAGCAGAACATTGCTCTGCGCTTGACGGCTAGGGATAAATCGATACAAGTAAATCCAAGTACATACTCGATACTTTTCTCAATTTACCAAGTAGTTTTTTACTCGATACTTTTTACTGCGATCCAAGTAGGTATCGAAAAAAAGTACTTGTATCGGAAGCGCAAAACTTATTATTCTTCAGCATCTTTTTTGAAAAGCATCCCATTAGAGGAATGGGAAGATATGCGCACTACATTTCCGCAGCTATATAAGCAAGCCCATCTATACATAACGGTTGTTGGGTCATCTGTCCCTTGCTAGAGGTTTTTCTAAAAAACAGGTTTTGTTCTACAATTCGAAAATTTTAAATCGACTCGATTTCAATAATTTTCTCGATGATTTTTAACCCAAAAATTTACAAGTCTCGCATTAAAACAATTTAAGAATATTCACTCTTTTCATCAGATATAATTAAAAAATATTTGGCAAATCGAGTCGAGTTCCAACTTTCGAATTTCAGAACATGCCCGTATACAAAATGTATTCAACAAAGTGTGATTGATTTTGACATTACTCTCATAAGAAACAGGCTATAATGTCAAATTGTAATAAATTTGTTGTGCACGCCACAAAACTCCTGCTGGCACTTACAAAAGAAATGAACACCACCAATTTGTATTTAATGAACGTTGACGTTGTCACCGTTGAAAAGTTGTTCGTTTATTTCACTGAAATAATATATAATATAAATCTTACAAGTTTAGTTTAGCAGAAATAATTTCTTACACTTTGTATTCTTGTGCCGGTAAGACTTGCGTACAAACAGTAAATGACAAATTCAAATTTGGAAATACATATGTAAGTGAAATGAAAGAAAATGAAAGAAAACAAATAACTGCAGGGTTGCATTTGAAGTCTGGCCGGTGTGTTGCTTCACCCTAAAACATCCAACACCGCCAGCTTCGATACTGGTCGTTGTAGCACGCCGTTCTCCGTCTTGACATCGACCAGGCGAACATGTCCGTCTCTAGCTTTTACCGTTGAAATCACGATACCCTTTCTCCACTCGCTGCGTGGAAGATTACCATCACAGATGATGACTACATCATCGGTCTTTACTTCAGGCTGAGGTGCAATCCATTTCGTCCGTTTCGTAAGCGTAGGCAAATATTCTTTTATCCAGCGATGCCAAAACTGATTTTTCAGTTGCTGGCTTATTCGATACTGCTTCCTAGTGGCGACCGCTCCTTCGTCCCCTGGCGTTTGTGTAGAGTTAGTGGCCCCCAACAGAAAGTAGTTGGGAGTTAGTGGATCAGGCTCCTCTGGTGTGACTGGCAAGTGAGTCAACGAGCGGCTGTTGACTATATTTTCCGCCTCAATTAGGAGGCTGTTCAAGGTATCTACTTGCGGCGCCTTCTCCTTCAATGTCATTGCCAGTACTTTCTTCACTGACTATATGAGACGCTCCCAGCATCCGCCACTGCTTGGGTTCGCTGGACAGTTGAATTCCCAAATGATGCCTCGCGTTGACAACTCGGTTCGAATGTACTTGTCGTCGAAGATATCCGCCACCTTGGATAGCTCACCACTCGCACCCACAAAGTTGGTACCCATATCCGAACGAATTTTGGCTGGAACACCACGGCGGTTAACGAAGTTCCTTATACAAAGGATACAAGCATCAGAAGAAAGATCACGTGCAAGTCCAATGTGGATAGCGCGTATGGTTAGACAGGTGAATAATGCTGCCCACCGTTTCTCCGTTCTTCTACCAATTGCTACCATTATGGGACCAAAGTAGTCAAGTCCTGTGTACGTAAAAGGCCGCACATATGGCGTTACGCGATCGACTGGCAGTTGGCCCATCAATGGAGGTCTTGGAGTTGCTCTGGAATTTTTACACTGCTGACAACCAGACTGAGCTCGTTTAACTCGTTGGATCCCACACTTACGATCCAGAATACCTTTCGTATTTCGTTTAGGACGAGCTAGTGGTTTTGATGATAAAGTCTTTGGTGGTACCACTGAACGACCAATTCAGTGAAGTCGTGTCTGTATGGCAATATGATAGGTCTTCTCGTGCCCTCACTAAGTGCGGCCGCGTAATCTATTCGCCCTTGTACGCATAGGACACCATCGTGATTGAGTTGCGGCGTAAGTTTATAAATGTCACTGTCCTTTGACACGGTGTTATTATTTTTCAATTGCATAATTTCGTTGGGAAATGCCTCTTTTTGAACTATTCGACACAATCGCAGCTCCGCGTCCTTTAGTTCGGCGGAGGTAAGTTCTCCTGACGGCCCTACTGATCCAATGTATTTGGCTTTGACATTAGAAAAAAATCGTAGTGTCCAAGCAATCGTTCGCTTCAGACGCAAATAATTCGAAAAGCGTGTGAAATTAATTACCTTTCCCGCCGGAATCACCAGCATGCATCTTCGTTTCTCCTCATCGACGACCGCCTCCACCTTTATGCCTTGCAAAACTGGCCAAAGCTCTTCTGGCTGAAGCAAAAATTCAGGACCCCTTGTCCACCGTAAATCTGTTTCCTCGCGCATAGGGTAAGCAGCTCTTGTAGCCAAATCGGCCACATTCAACTTCGATGGGCACCAACGCCATTCGTTCTCGTGTGTCTCATCCAGTATCTCGCTTATACGATGCGCAACAAATGGTTTATATTGTCGATGGTCAGATTTGATCCACATCNTTATCTCGCTTATACGATGCGCAACAAAAGGTTTATATTGTCGATGGTCAGATTTGATCCACATCAAAACCGTTCTAGAAACAGTCCACAAAATAGTTCGGCTGGGTTTGATAGTATGGCTTTCAACAATCGTTGATTTCAACCGTGTACCCAAAACAGCGGCCTGCAGCTCTAAGCGGGGTATAGACAGCAGTTTCAGTGGTGCGCATCTGGTTTTTCCCAAATCAAAGCTAATTTTAACGCTTCCGGGTGCAATTATTCTCCAAAAGGCCACTGCAGCGAAGGCTTGCTCACTGGCATCCATGAATACATGCAGTTCAACAGTGGTATTTGGCGACAAAAATTCTGGCGCATAGCACCTGCTTACTCTGAGCTGTTCCACCATTCGTAATCTTCTGATCCATGACGTGAATCTGCCAAGAATATCAGAAGGAAATTCGTTGTCCCACGCAGTGCCTTTCCTCCACAGTGACTGCAGTAAATTCTTCCCATATATCATAATATCGGCCAACATTCCCAAGGGGTCATAAACAGACATCACCAAACCCAGAAATTCTCGTTTAGTTGGACATTTGTCCCCTGTGAGTATCTGTGGATCAACTCTATGCAATTTTAGTTTGAATACAAGTGCATCAACTTGGCTGTCCCAGAACAGTCCCAACACCTTGTCGACATGACCACCTGCATCCATGCTAACTACGGCCTGTGAGTGTTGAACGCTTTTGTTTAGGCGGTTTTGCACGTCTCTGGAGTTGGAGATAAAAATTCTCAAAACAAATCCGGCCTTTAAATGAGTTTCCCTCACGGCTTGGCCAATTTCCAATGCTTCACTCTCGTCCCTAAAGCTGCACACGAAGTCATCCACATAATGATTGTCAGTTATTACCCTTATCACTTCGGGGCGATCACCGGCGACTTCCTCAGCATTTCTGTTCTTAACATGCTGTGCTATGCATGGAGAGCATGTGGCTCCAAAAATCATTGAAGTCATCACATAGATTCCTGCAGGGTCATTGATGTCGTATCGCCACAGAAAACGTTGTGCATTCTGATCTTCCTGCCTCATGCCGACTTGTAGAAACATTTCCCTTATGTCAGCGCATATGGCAACAACGCCCTCTCGAAATTGTAGCAATACTCTAATCAAGGGTTGCATTTCATCTGGACCCTTCAGGAGAACAGAGTTTAACGACACCCTGTTTACCGCCGCTGCCGCGTCGAACACCAGCCGCAGCTTTCCAGGCTTATTGACATTAAAAACTCCAAAATGTGGTAAGTACCAATTAAAATGCGTTTGAACCTTTGCCTCAGTTGGCGTTAATTCCCTAGCGTATCCCTTGGCGATAAAGCTTGACATGGCAGATTTATACGCGCGCTCGAATTCAAAATCATTCCTCATCTTTTTCTCAATTGAATGTAGGCGGTTGAGGGCCATGTTATAACTATCGGGCATATGGACTTCGTCAGACTTCCACAACAAACCGCACTCGTATTTATCGCCGATTCTCTTAATTGTCTCGCGCAAAATTCTTTTAGNTTTCGTCAGACCTCCACAACAAACCGCACTCGTATTTATCGCCGATTCTCTTAATTGTCTCGCGCAAAATTCTTTTAGCTCGAACGACGTCTTTGGATTCTACAACCTTTGCAGGCACGGCAACACCAAAATTTTCGGTTGTAAAGTAATCTGAAATCAATTCTTGTATGTCGACTTTAACGGATGTATGCAAAATTATCGATACTCGTTCAACTATCGGTTTTAGTTCATCGCTATGTTTACCATAAACGAGCCATCCCAATTCTGTTTTTACTGCAACAATCGAATTTTCACATTGGATACTCCTCAAGCTGGCTGTAATATGGCAATTATCCAATCCAATTAGGACCGTTGGCTCTGCATCAGTGTAATCAACTATTGGAAGATGTTTAATTTGGCGATACCTCGAGTGTAGTTCAGCAAATGTGACTGTTTGCATTGGCAAATCAAGGCTAGGAACAGTTCGTGCAATCAGCTTGTGCCACTTGGCTTTGTGACTAGTTCCTTTTATTTGCACTTCCAATCTCATAGACTTGAACTTGGTCTCTCTTCCACCAAACCATTGCAAAGACAGTTGAGTGCTTTGGCCAGACATTCCCAACTGACTGGCTACTGCTTTATTGATGAGCGTGCATGACGAACCTTCATCGATTAAGGCAAATGTTTTAATAATGTGATTATTTGCACCTCGCAGCTCAATTGGCAATATCTTGTACAAAATTGTTGTTGCTTTATGGTCATACTTGCGTGTTTGCACAGTGTTTACCTGCTGAGCGCTATTTTCTTTCGCTCTTGGTGGCTCATGCACAGTGACACTGGTTTCATGTAATGTAGAGTGGTGCAATTTCTTGCAGTCTTCCACCATACATGCGCGCTTCCTTTTACACTGATACATGCCGTGACCTTTAATAAGACAGGAGAAACACAATTTTTGTTCCTTCACTATTTCCCACCTCTGCCCAACACTTTTACTCAGATACGAGTCACACTTTGACAAATGATGTGAGGCTGAACATTGCACACATGGATTTAGGCCTTCGCTGCTACTGCGCGTTTCTCTTACGGCAAGTACTTGCTTCGATTGTGTACGTGGCATTGTGGGAGGCAGTGAGAGCACTGTGGCTTTGGCTGTAGGCGAAGTGTATTCTCTAGCATGGAATAACCATACGCAGCTGTGGACTCATTCAAAGATGTCAAAAATATAGGCCAGTCTTCGGGGCGGCCATTAAATTCTGGCAAATCGTACAACTTTCGTGGAGTACTCAATTGTGGAACCGTAGAGTATGAAGCCCCCATATTCGTTCCTTGGTTAAACGGGAATTGTGTACTGGCAGCAATAGGCATTACGTTCGGTCGGGCGTATGTGGTAGTGATGGTGGCGGACATGGGTATTGACGGTAGGAATGGTAAATTCCAAGTAGTCGTCGGCAAGAAATTTAAGTGCGGCGATTGCAATGGCACCGCCGGTCGCTGTGCATAGCTAGCAGTTGCACCAGATTTCAATGAATTACACGTAGATAACGGTGTGCTCCTTGGCATTTGAGCGATTTGTGAAGGCAAATTATCACTTGAGGAATTTGTTGTGTACGTCGACGTTGCAATTGCAAACTCAACATTGCTCGACGTAGATGATTGCAAGGTCGGTATCGGTCTTGATTCCAGGATCTTGATGCGTTCGGTCAAGTCCAGAACCATTTTTTGTAAAGACTTCTCAAGTTCTGTGGATGCAACTACAGTTCCATCCATGTCGATTTCATCAGATTCTGTCGACTGCGGCGTCGACGATCTTGATGATGCCTTTTCGGCTTTCGTTTGACTTCGTGTTTCCATTGTTTCGGAAAAACGTTAAATTTGAAATAACGCAGGCGTCAGAAAGAAACAGTGAAAGTTGAAATAAAATTGTTGTGCACGCCACAAAACTCCTGCAGGCACTTACAAAAGAAATGAACACCACCAATTTGTATTTAATGAACGTTGACGTTGTCACCGTTGAAAAGTTGTTCGTTTATTTCACTAAAATAATATATAATATAAATCTTACAAGTTTAGTTCAGCAGAAATAATTTCTTACACTTTGTATTCTTGTGCCGGTAAGACTGGCGTACAAACAGTAAATGACAAATTCAAATTTGGAAATACATATGTAAGTGAAATGAAAGAAAATGAAAGAAGACAAATACCTGCAGGGTTGCATTTGAAGTCTGGCGGGTGTGTTCGCAACAGAATTGTTAACACATTTGAAAATATTTTTTTTTAAGTTTGAATTTGTTAAAAAAAAGATGTACACAAATATTTTCCAAGCAACAAATTTTCTTAATAAACGTGAAATTGTTAAGAGATTCACCGCCGAGGAGAGCAAGTAAGTACATTTAAAGTTTGGTAATAAGTAAATACGTTCGACTTTGCTTAAATATTTAATGTAAGGAAATCAAGGTGAAACGGAGCAAAACTTTTGAACGTTGCGCTGTATGCAATAGAAGTCAGGAGACGAAAATAGTGCGATGTTTTAAACCACCTAGTTGCGAGTTTAGACGGCAGCGATGGGAAGAAAGCTGTGGTGTTGTACTACGTGATTCATCTCGCGAATCTCATCTTGTGAAAACCACTTCAAGGAAAGTGATTTCATTTGATGTCCGTCCGAATCAAGCACTTTCAATCGAGCTCGTTTATACCCAAACTATTTCGCATGAAGCAAAATTTTATTTCAAAATTGTTAGAGTTAAGCTCTCATATAAAATTGGAAACAAATGTAAAAACATACTTTTAAAAGTGTCGAATAATATTTAGGATAAAAATTTAAATTCAAAAATAAACGCACAAAAGCATAAAACTTGGGCAATTAAAAACAAGAAAATTGCTAAAATGATTTTATAAACAATTTGTTTTATTTTATTGAGAAAATATATATATTCCAGGTAATGTAAGTAAAATAAAACAATAATCAAAATAAAAGCCTAGGGTATCAGTGCTGAAAAGATACATGCATCACTAAGGGTTAATTCGTTTGTTTATACTTTTTGACATTATAGTACCTTAAAAGAGAGCCGCATTGAGTTTCCAATCACACCTTGTTTAATACACCTTGCCCGTATATCAAAATCTCGCCTTTCAGGAAAACATTTGGAAAAGCTGATTTTTTTGGGAAAATATAACAACAAAGGAGTTATTTCCTCAAACTTATTTTATACTAGCCAATGCCCGCTTACTTCGCGGCACCTGATAAGAACTTTTGCGTTGGCCAATGCACTATGGGAAATTTTACCCTATTTTGTGGCCAAAATTCTAAAAGTTGAGATATCAATTAAAAACTTGGCCCAGTAGTAGGACTAGAAGTAGTGGCCTTGCCGCGCCAAAATTAACCCGTATTGGTCACACCTCCAAAAAATAGCGTAATGGTCACACGGGGTCCAGTGGACCCCAACCCAATAAACAGATGCCTCGTACGTTCTATTTTAAATATCGACTCGAATCCTCCACTGACCTTAAGTTTAAAACTTTCTTATTGTTATCTGACAGGTTTTTTTCCAACTTTTTAATTATAACACCGCGAATTATTTCATAAAACTCATGATTTTGTACCAAGTAGTTACCTAAGAAAAATTATAAATTTTTTAATATCGCACAAAATCGCGGCATAAGATTATGGGGAAATAAGAGATCAGGGACGATTCTACCGATTTATAATGAGTTTTTTACCGTTTTTAAAAATTTTTTTAAAACACTAAATACATTTTTTTTAATTGTACAATTTCACTTTAAAGTCACTTAAATGCGGACGTTTTTTTGGCACAACCTTTAAACTATAATATACGTTTCAATTGGTAAATAGTCTGCTAACCGTCACTCTTTCTTTCCACGTTTCACTTTGGAAAAGCAAAAAATACTGTCTATCCTTAAATGTAAGGAAGTGTTTTCACATGACTTTCCAAACGGTTTATAACATCTCGATACTCGTATAACATTGCCGGCGTTGAATTGAGATCAGTGGAGCAAACTAAAGACTTGGGCATTTATTTCGATGCCAAACTCACTTTTTGCACTCATATTAACTATACAGTTTCAAAATCGTATGCTATGCTTCCTTTTATTCGTCGTAATTGTTCTTGTTTTTCTGATCCGTACACATTTAAAACCCTCTACACTGCTTATGTTCGATCACGGCTAGAATATGCCACTTTTATATGGAGACCTTACCATGCTACACATATTAATCGACCAGAACGTATTCAGAAATCGTTTATACGTTTTGCACTTTCATCTTTAAAATTCACGGAACCAGTTCCATCCTATAGCTCACGGTGCATGCTCATAGACTTGGCATCCTTTCAATTGAAGCAATTGATATACCTACGGTGATCTTTCCTTGTTTCTATACATTTCGGCTGCAGCGCCATCCATTGGGTCCATTTTCTGCAAAACCATTACTTACCATAAAATGAATACGTGTTATGAAAATCAACCTCGACTCCAGCGGCGCTAATCTTGTCAATTTATATCAAAAGAATTTTCCAGCATACAGGTACATAGCTCACATTTAAAATTTGAACGAAATCGGTTAATAAATACGATTTTTATAAATAACTCTACTCTAGCACCACCTAGCGAGTTTTCTTGTACCATGGAATAGGACCATATATGTATGTAAGATAACCTCCGACAATCTGACGGAACTCTACTTAGTGGTTTTTGAGTTTAGACCGAACAACGAAAACGGCTATCATTTTATGTATATAGGTATGTAGTTTTATGTATATAGGACAGTCTATAGCGAAACTCGTAAAATCAAAGCTCCATTCTTTGTGAAAAATTAAAAAAATTCTTCAACATTTTCACATAAATTTTAACTTTTACTAAAAATTAAA